AAGTCCTGCCCCAGGGCAGACGCCTGGGCGGGGCGGGGGGAGGGGGTGGGGGGCTGGGGTCACACCTCTCGACCCGCTGCCCATTTCAGCTGCAGGGGACATTCTGGGGCGCCCACCAAACCCTATACCACTTCTGGCTCGGATCTTTCTCCAGGGCCCAAGCACAGCCTGAAACGGGGGGTCAACACCCCCGGGGGCCACAGTCAGTCAGTGGGAGACCGGCCTGTTGATAAGAGCACGCACCTCCCACCTTCAGAGGGCAGGGCAGTGAGGTGCTCTTGTTAGGTCTTGTTCACCTAACTAGACCATTCTTGTTAGGTGAACCTGGGTACGGTGCCAGGCTCTGCCTCTTGCTGGCTGTGTGCCTTCAAGCAAATGGTTTCACCTCTCTGTGCCTCTGTTTCTCTATCTCTAAATGGGCTAATGGTACCTGGAATAGGATTTGGGGGAAGGTTGAATGACAGCAGGCATGGAGCCACCAGATGAGAAGCAAAGTAGCTCTCAGTCAATGGTACCTGGATATTAAGGAAGTTAAGTTTCTCAAGCACCCGCCAGGGCAGTCATCATGTGAACACCTGCCCGTTGCAGGTAACATTAGCACCGTTTTCTTATTTAACTCCCCCAACAAGCCCTGGAGGTATGTTTTATCTCTCCATTGTTGCAGATAAAAGGAACAAACAAACAAAAACCTCTGAGATTAAGAGAGGTTAAGTAACTTGCCTAAGGTCACCCAGCTAGGAACTTGTTAGAACTTTAACAACCCAGCTTCCAAGGGGGATCTTCCATCTTCCTGCTATGCATGTTGCCACCAAGTGCTGGTCCCACTCCACTAAAATAATGGTGACTTAAAATAATAGCAACACTATAATTCACATTTATTTAGTATCATGCTTTATCTTATTGACTCCTCCAAGCAACTCTGTGAGAAAGGGACTTTTGTCGTCCCCTGTTGTGCTTGGTGAGAAAGTATAAACACAGAGAGGCTAAGTAATCTGCCCAAGTCACACGGCTAGCACATGGCAGCTACCTAACCCCAGGCAGGCTGGCTCCAGAGCCTGTCCACTCATAAAACCTCAAAATGGGGTATCTTAACTTCTGGAGTGTTAAAATCCACCTCTCAGTGCTGAGCCTGTTTCAAAGGACCGTGGCTCGAAGCCCCAGCAAGCAGGGCCGAGCAGGAAGCCATGACTCTGAGACACTTTCTCAAATCAGTGTCACTTGTCTGGGTGGGGATGGGCCGGGCAGCACTGCGCCGAGGATGCCCGGAGGGAGGGGACGGTGCTGAGCCCCGGACTGCGGCCCCGCCCGGAGGGCCCCTGCTCAGAGGCGGCCTCAACAACACCCCTAAAGGCTCCAACTTCCCCCACAGGGGGGCTGTTGAGACCGAAGGAGCCAGATCCCAGCTCCAATCCTGAGATACCATGAAGTAAACAAATAGGAAAACACAGCAGGCTAGTCACAGGCTGCCCAGGGCCTGTCCCTGCCCGCTGCATACCCAAGCTCCTTTCCGCTGCCCTGAATCTCCCCCACAGGCACCAGACAAGCACAGGTCATGAGGAAAAGACCAGCAGAAACGCAGCCTGCTCCCCACAGGAGGCAGGAAACAGCCAGGACCCTGGCGGGGCTGGGGCTCAGTCAAGCTTCAGGCCCAGGAAAATGCCTGCTCCCTGGTAGGTACCACATAGGACCTTGGGGTGGGAAGGGGCACAGGGTGGAGGGTGACTGATCCAGAAGGAGGTGGAGGGTGTCTTTTCCCCACAGGGACAGACGCTAAATGACCAGTTGCTGGGAAGGAGCAGGGAGGAGTCCTTGTCCTAAAAAGAAAATCTACACTGATTCTCTCCATCCTTAACCCTATAAAGGTCTGCGCAGCTGCCCCATGCGTTAGGCGCCCCATGTTGAAAGGGCGCCCACTCTGCCTCCTAAAATTATCACAGCCCCTTCGGAATAAATGTCTGGACCATTCTCTTCAGAGAAAAAAGAAATGGTTTCATAACGAGTTCCCAGAGGAGTCGGGACTTGCTCAGGGCTCTGCGCGGACCATTCATCCGTCCCACAGCTGGTGATGGGCCACCTCGCGCAAGCACAGACGAGGAGGCCGAGGGACTCACAGGCACGCGGGCAGGTGACCGACCGTGAGGGTGGCCGAGGTCGGAGCACAGGCCACACGGAAAGCGGCAGCTGAGAGTCCAGAGGAAGGAGAGGGCCCGGGGCCGGGGCTGCAGGGAGGTGGATACGGGAGTGATGAGGGTGCAGCCCTCCTGGGGGTGGGGGCGGGGGCGGGGTCTGTAACACACACAGCACCCAGAGGCCTCTCTGGCCAAAGGCAAGGGAGGGAAACAGGCTATCCAGATAGACAAGTGCTCCTGATAGGAGGCCTCGGATGCCGCCAGGAAGGAAGCACAGAGGGCCACCGAGGCTCCTGCCTGGGCAAAGGCTGGAAGAGATTTAGAAACTATAACGTGATACCAGGATGCAGAATGGGCCGGAAGAGGGCAAGATGGGAGGTGAAACAGCCCCCGCCCCCACTCCAGGGCTGAGGCTGCCCCGATAATCAAGGGAGGATGGAAAAGGCTGGTGGGGTCGGGGGAGGGGGGGGAGGGGTTAAACTGAGCGTGGAGAGGGGACGAGAGCACGGGTCCGGGACTCAGCCGGACCCAGGTCAGCATTTTCCTCCGCCTCTACAGTTGTGTGACCTCGGGCCTCGGTTTCCCAGTCTATAAAGTGGGGGGATACCACGGTGCCCGTTTCACAGGGTTGGGGGGATGGGACACGGAGACACATGAGTGAGGGCAGAGCTGGGGACGTGCACCGGGGAGCTGGCTGCCCCTTCTGCTCCGAAATGCGGGGCTTCTGCAGAAGCACAGGGGACCCTCCACTGTCCCTTCTCTACTCCTCCCCAGCAGACACCCCATCACTCATGGACTCGGCCACCCCTCGCTACTCAGACGGAAGGCGCAGCTAAGCGGTGGGGTGAAGCTAAGGGTGACACAAGGACAGCGGTAACCGCACAGCCCCAGGGCTGAGCACCTGTGCCAGGCAGTCAACACATATGCGGTTAGATGGTCACGGGGCCGGTGGTG